TGAGCCTGGGGCCAGGACAAGAGTCAAGGCTGCTGTTTTCCTCCAGGACCCGACCTTCCATTCACATACTCTTCAGCCTGTGCTACCTTTGAAAGAAAAGGGGGAAGGACAGAGCTAACCGGGCTGGTGATGCAACCTGGCATCTCTCAGTCCTGCCAACTACAGATGCTGATCGGAGCTCTGGGTCACTCCAGGGGATGATGGACAGGGTGAGATGGAGACAGGGACCCGGGCAGGTTTTTCCCGGCCCTAACAATTATTTATTGCCAAGTGAAGGAGCTCAGCTGGACTTTTTCTCTTGGTTTCTAGTAGACTTCCCAGAGTAGATACCTGGAGGTGTATGGCAGGAGAACGTTTTTCAGGGCTCACATACGAATTTCAAAAAGTGCGTCGGGTTCTGGGGTGCACTTCCATTACTGAAGGCCTCTTCTCCTGCGTTGCTTTGGTTTGTTGCCTGGCGGAAGGCAGGAGCAGCTCAGGTTTAGCAAGAGACTATCTGGAGCAATGGCCAAGAGGTCAGGTTCATCCAAAGCCTTCGGTCTCAGCTCTTCTACCAATTTGTTGGAGAAAGTCATTTGTGCCAATTAGACCCTGCTCAGTAAAGGGCTGCCCTGTCTGGAAGGCAGGTAAAGAAGCCATTTGCCAGAATAGGTGATCAATGAAAGTGACACATTACTTATGCCTCCAATTCTTCTTAGACAGTTAGCCCCCAATTAGCTTTCTGAGAAGTAGAGAAAATACATGTACTTGCCTTGCTAATGGGCACATGGTCAGGAATGGGTGATTTATACAAAGCATCTAAGTTCTAAGATGAAATGCACTGAGATATTGGGATTAATGAGTTTCTGACTTGCAAGTTTGGAAAAATTGTGAGGGTTTTTTATACTTCTCCACACACAATGATTTCATGGTAAAACAATAATGAAAAGGAACCAGGCCCCTTTGGCCCCTTTTTCCTGGTCAAAACAGTGCTTGTCCTGACCTGAGTGACCTTTTCTCCTATGAATTTATCCCCCGTATTCAGAGCTCATATCCCACGGGGAGGCACTGGGCCCAGACCAGTGGTTGGTTGTGGTTAATATCTATTCTGACCAGCTGGGTGTCCATTCTATGTGTGGGTGCCTGTGGTGGACACACCCTAAGGAGACCCCCCTCCCCTGAGTTAGTCATGGTCTTTATAATCCCATCTCTCTGAGTGAGAGCAGAACCTGTGACCTGCTTCAAGCCAGTAGAATAGGGTAAACGTGATGAGATGTCATACTAATGACCCCTGACGGCCTTAGAGAAGCCAACAGCTCCCTTGTAAGAGGACTATGGAGAAGGCCATGGGCAGCTGCGTGTGGGTGGCCTCCAGGAGCTAAAGGAGGCCCCCTGACCAAGAGCCAGCAAGAAAAGGAGGCCCTCAATTACGGACAAACTTCCAGTTTTTAAATAAGTCACGAGGATGTAATGCACAGCACAGGGCACACAGTAATTTTTTAATAACTATGTACAGTGACAGGTGGTTACTAGATTTATTGTGATCACTTTGTAGTGTATATAAATGTGGAATCACTATCTTGTAAACCTGATATTAATATAATACTGTATGCTAACTACAATTAAAAATAAATTTTTTAAAACTCCAATGCCAAACACACACACAAAAGTATACGAGGCCCTCAGTCCTATATTCACAAAAAATAAATAAATTCTACCAACGACCCGAAGCAGCTTGGAAGCAGATCTTTTTTCCTAGTTGAGGCTCCAACTGAGAATGCAGTGTGGCTAGCACCTTGACTGCAGCTTGTGAAGCCCTGAGCAGGGGACCCAGCTGGGCCGTGCCAGGACCCCGACCCACCAGAATGGTGAGCTCACACATATGTTTTGTTTTAAGCCACTATATTTGTGGCCATTTGTTACATATCAATAAAAAACAAATTCATCGCACATGCTGTACCAGTAGTTAAAGATTTGATTATCACCCCTGTTTCGTTCCTTATACAATTAGCTACGCACCACTTTGTGATACAGAATGGCACCTAGACCTTGTGCTGTGCCTATAGACTCAGGCAATTATGATTTTTCCTCTTAATGGGAGTGTAAATCCCATGAGAGCAAGAATTCTGTTCTTGTACTTCTTAAAAGCCCCACAGCACATCAAAGTACTTGGCACACAGTAGGTATGAAGTTATATGTGACTTGAGTTTTTGACCCTTCATTTGTCCAACTAAACTAAATGGGTCTTAAAGACATAGAGACATACAGCAAACTTTTACTGAATGCCTACTCTATACTGGGTTAGATCCCAGCTACACAGAGAACAAGTCAAAAATCCTGCCCTGCCAGTTGTTCATGGTTCAATCCAGCCAACAATATCTTGCAATCTCATCTCCTTACCATGCAGAATCAGAAGCTACCCGAAGATTCCTAGAGTTCTTCGTCAGTCTGTCAAATTCTGATCTTGCAGGTCAGGTAAAGGGGCAACTGGAAAGTTCTTCGGTGACTTGGAGAGTTTTCAGTTTGCAAGGAGAAGACACAAAAGGCCCCTGCAGTGCCCGCCTCCCAGTGAAATAAGGGGTGAGCCATGAGGACACATGGGCACACTCTGCTCTTCCTCAACAGCCCAGCTGGTCATCCCTTCAGCTCTAGGACTCAGGGGGACGTAGCCACATTCAAGCAGACCAGAGATCAAAGCCATAATAGGCAGGAGCTACTCTTTATTCATAGGTTTACAGAATATATCGAATTAAGAGGCATATCATTTGTTAACTCTATTTACCAAAAAGAGCTAAATATATATTCAGCCTTAAAACGCATTCATTGTAGCTTGCACACAGCAAAATTCGCTTTCATATACATGTGAACTATTCTTAGTTTGCCTAAATTATGCATTTAAAATACATAAAAATGGTACCAAATGGCACATTGGCCTATTTTATCACAGGTCTTATACATTCCTGATAGTCAAAGGGGTTCATGGGGAATGCATAGTTTCCTACTAGAAAAAAGGTAGATTCTGATACAAGCAATGGCGTAATGTAAGGATAAGAGTGCCTTGGTTTAGATTTCAGTAGCTTTCCAGATACTTCTTATTCTAATTAGTGTTACAATTGGTTCTCTTCGTTAATAATTGGGATGCCATTAATTTGCCTGGTCATTCCACCTTCTACTTGCCTGGCTGAGGCAAAGGAACACATAGTGACTTTTTCCCTTTCAGTTTGTTTCCACTTCCCCCAAAGAGTTTTCTCCACCACAGCCACCTGCCCTGCTTTTCTGTCCATTTCCTTTACTTTTCCCCCAGGTCTGGGCCATTTCACTCATTGTGTCAACAACTAGATTACTGCCCTCTAGTCTAGAGGGCTGTTTAACAGAACCTCTGGTCACTGCCTAATTAAAGACCTCTTCTAAAGCTGCAAACAAGAGGCTGAGACTTCTGCAGAAGAATCGGGAAGCTGGCTGAAGACAGTTGTGTTCGGCGGCCTGCAAACAGACGCGCCTCCCGCAGACCTTCCTCTCTCTTCCATTATACCCTGGTGGAGAAATTTCCATCGTGAGCGTTCCTGGCAGCTAAACTGCCAGCATCCCACACTGATTTCTTGCCTAAAAATATGCAGCCTCTCACTCCGTGGGGAAGAAAAATGCAACCCTGCCATCTCCAGCGTGCTTCCCAAAGGCTGATGGCGGCCCTGAGCAATTCATCATCACTCGAGCATTCAAGTTTTCAGTCTCCCCCATCACGGAACTGTTCTTGTTTATCTTGTGGACATTGTGACAAGAACCAGATGCGTCTCAACCTCAGCCTCCTTCCCACAGATATGTGAGGGGAGAGACAACCGTGCCAGCTAGAAACCCTCTTTAGAACAGAAAATTATCTGAAACTTCTGGAAGACATTCAAGAGTAGGGACGTGCATGTAACGGTGGTTCCGTGGTGTTTAATTGTTAAACGGACCGGTTGATTGGATCGTGTCTATTCAGCACTATTTTCCTTCTGGCTATGCACATTTTTTTGCACTTTTTATTTTATCTCAAGGTGCTGCTATATTCAAAATCATGAGTAGAACATTTTCACTCAGAGGGCGCGGCAGTGTCACAGGAAGAAAACACAAGGCCTGCCGCTCAGAGGGAAAGTTCTAGTCTTGCCACTCACTACTGGTTGATTTTGAGTGACCAAATGACTTAGAATTTCTGTGTCTATTTCCTTCTCTCTAAAACTGGAATAATATCTGCCCTCCAATCAACTGAAGAACTCTTTATGAACAAATGAGATGAACACAAATATACATTGAAAGATGTAAAGTTTTGCTGAAATACAGATTGGTCTTACTATCCACTACCCATGAACACAGCGTCATTCACACCAAAGGCTTATTTTTAGAGTTCTGATAAGAGATCTATTCCTGACTCCATGGTGTCTGGGGACAAGACCTCGCTTTAAGGCTGGGTATCTTAGCACATGGCTTTGTGGAGGGACTCAGTGTGGGAGCCTAGCCACCAAGACTGTAAAGAGAAAACAAGCTGAGATGATCAACCAGTGGGTGATGAGAATGGGTGGAGAAAGAAGCACACCCCCCCCAGAGCTGCCTCCACAGGGACGGTCCCCCGTGTCCCTCAGCTTTGGATTTTTGTTGTTGCTTGGGGTTTTTTCTCTTACATTATTACTGGAAGAAATCTTCTTGCAGAAATTGTTTAAAACCTGAGGGACTCTTGGGATGGAGCAGTAAGATTAATGAAGCAAAGCTTCCATCGCCTCGCGCCAAGAATATCTACACTCCTTAAGTAAGTCGGCCAGAACAAATATCTCCTCCCTCAGCGCGGGGACGCTGCAGACTGCAGACTCGGATCTTGTCTAAAAGTTTTCAGACAAGCAGGTAAAAGAAAAGAAATCCTGATTGCAGCTGAGTGGCTTACCCACCCTCTCACCCACTGACCCCCACCCCTGTCATAAGCTTTAGGTTTTTCTTTCCCTGTCTCACCGGGACTCAGCAAGTCTCCCCACCCCACCCCACGCCGAGTCCGGCATTCCGTACTCTCTGGTTTTTCAGATTTGGGGCAATGGTGACCAGGACGGTGAATCACATGGTTAGCCCCTAATGTCACCCTCAGAGGTGACTCTGGGAAGCTGGTGCACCGCTCAGTAGAGGCAGCACTGTACCGAGGGCTCAGTTGCTTTCTCCACAAATGTCTGAATCAGGACATTATTTTGATCTGACCCCAGTGCAGTCTAAACGTCCCCTGCTTGGCTACTTGCCAAGTGCCTGTTTTCCCACCCAGCCTTGACTGAGGGCTTCCATGTGTCAGAAAGAAGAGTTTGCCCGTCTTGACAATCCAAGGACTAGCAGACTATCCCACTTTAAGCCTCCCCAGTGTAAGGATCTGGGCATTTGCCATCAATTTAAACAACCAGGAAGGCACAAGAAGGCAGAAGAAAGAGTCACTTGTGCTGTACACGATGAAAACCCAGCACTTTTCTCCTGTTTGGCACTTAGTAGGAATGTTTCAAGCAACAAATCCACTACGTGCAGATGAGCCCGTTCATTAAAATCCCTGGTGTCCTGGGGCTGGAAGCCCTCAGCCTGCAGTCCCAGAATGTACCCAAGAGAGCTGTTGTGACATCAATGCATTGTTCTCTAAATGCTATTTATTGCCTCGATCTGCATGGCTTAAAATCTGGAAACAACAAACACATTCATATTTGCGGCAAAACATCTACCTACTCATGACTTGGCCAACAAAAAAATCATTAAAAGAAATAACAATACAGTCCAATGATTATGCTACGTTCATGGCTAGAAGAGAAGTTGTGGGGTTACTCTTGGAGAGAAGCTCCTAAATGCATTCACTTCACATTCTCTGAAGAGAACCAGCTAACCAGGCAGAACATCCACCTGGACCCTTCCACAAAACCAGAACCCCCACCCTCATGAGCCTCCTGATGGTCTACCCCAGAGAGGCCCACTTGAACCAGGCCACCTGGGCCTCTGAGTGCAGACCTGCTTTGTGAGATTCAGAGTGTCTGGCTCCAAAGCTGGTCCCTACTGATCAGCTGGCCCCCCACCCCCATCCTGTACAGGATGAGCATCCTGGCAGCACATGGGCTGGAGTGAGCTAAGGACAGGGAGGGGGAGGTGTGTGCCGTCCAGAGTACCCCATTTTCTACAATTGGGTGCTGTAGTGCCTTTGGAAGGGCTGTGCTGGCAGCGGCAACATCCGCACCTCAACACAGCGGACTGTTACATGAGTAGGGAGGTAGGCAGGCGGGCAGGTAGGTGAATTGCTATTCAATTACTTGGAATATTAAGTTGCCCAGAAGGCAAAGACATGCATCAATCAAAGGGCCATCTCTAGGTTTCAAAGTACGTCAAGATTTGCGTCAAGTCCTCCTTGCCCCCACAAAATCTGACTTCAAAAATTCTCACCAGATGGAAATACCTGCTCTATTCCTCTACAGGACAGAATAAAAAGCACCATTCAGTCTCTGGGCTGTCTGCTGGTTACCTGTTCACTCAGAGAATGGGGTCAGAGAAGCAGATGAGTCATGGAGAGCATCAAACAAGCACTGTTGCTCCGGCCACCACGGGGGTCAGCTCTGAACCACAAGAGGAGGAGAAACTGCTCTGTCTCGCTCCTGGGTCCATAGCCCATGCTGGGCCTAGACATGTGTGAGCAGAATATATTCTCTGTAGCAGAGGAAGCAATTTGTCCAACATTATTTGTTGACACACCCATGACAAGCATCCATATGAGCCAATGAAATAGCCAAGGTTCTGCTAATAAGGGTGGGAGGGGGCGGGATTCAGGAAATTGGGATGGCTCCAAATAGCATTGCTGAGTGTTACCAGATTTTTTAATTTATCATCAGCAAATCTTTTCAGCTGACTTTGGCTTTAAGAGTTCTTACCAGAAAGACTGCTTAAATGGGATGAGAAGGGCCCATAGTTTGTTGGTCTTTTAAAAATATTTCATTTTAAGAGCTATCCCATCTTATCCAATTTTTCTCCTTTCTCATTTAAAAAAAAAAAAGCATATTACTTTCCTAGATGGTAAGAGTTAATACTTTACTCTTTTCTTAAGAATCACAGGCTTTAAGATGTCTTTTTAAATGGGAGAATGGGCATGTCATGCAGTTAGCCAATAAATGCAATCCCTGATTAAAATGTGAGTTCTAAAAGTTTGAAAACTTTTAACTATTTCCCCAATGCATGTTGAACTTCAGACCTCTGAACCTGTCTTCATTTTAAATTTTTTCCCTGGTCCTGTCTTGGGAGAGCTAGTGCTACGTGTTTCTTTAATGCACCTAGCACACTTTCACAAGCTTAAGTCAACCACTATGTGTTCAAAAATCTTTGTTTTCCCTTTGAAACTGGATGCAAAAAAGAAATCTCTCCTGTCAGTGGAGACCGCTGTGAAGCAACGAGGTGCCTGCACATAAATCTCCTTAAATTTCTTGAATAGCTGCTTCTCTTTATCCCACTGGTAGATCTGAGAGAACGTATAGTCACTGCCCAGGGCCAGGTAGTGGTTCTCTTTAAAAGAAAATGGCTGCAGGGTCATGGCCCCCCGGGAGGGGAGAGCCTGGATCTCCACAAACTGCTTACTGTTCCACCTCATGACCCTGGAGTCCCCGATGAAGCGGGTGAGGGAAAGGTAGAGGGCGTTCTGCATTCGGAAGCTCTTCACGGCCAGCACATCTTCCATGTTGGGGATGTCACTGTGGGGGACAAACTTCTTTGAGCTCTTATTCCACTGCAGGATGATGGGGACTTGGGAGCGGCTGGACAGGATCAGGTGCGATTTCCCATCGATGTCAACAAACTCCGCGTCCGTGTCCCTGAACCACTCGTGCAGAGACTGGTACGAGTAGAATCCTTTGCTGTTCCATTTGTAAACTGTCGACAGGCCGGCTTTCGAGCTGTCAGCGATGACGAAGAACGTCTCATCGTCAATCTGAAACAGCTCGATGTCATTGGGCTTGGAGATGCGAGAGACTTCGATGTCTTGGAATTTGACAAACTTGGTCCAGCTCTCATCGTATTTGTAAATGTGAGAGCCGCCAAAGAGCTGGGCCACCACCACAAAGACCTGGTCCTCGATGAGGATGGCCTTACAGCCCACGATGGACTGACCTGTGCTCCAAAAGAAAGGAAGAGGGGGTTAGGGCAGCCATGGTTACAGGCGCTCCTCCACAGGGACGCTGAGACCCTGGGACACTGCTGGTGAGAAATGGGGCGGCCCGTAGGGAAACCATAGGAAAATTAAACCAAGAATTACCATGTGATCCAGAAATTCTACCTCTGGACCCATAGCCAAGAGAATTCAAAGCAGGGCCATGAAGAGAGATTTGTACACCCATGTCCACAGCAGCATTATTCACGAGAGCTGAGAGGCGGAAGCAACCCAGGTGTCCACTGAGGGATGAACGGATAAGCAAATATGGTCTATCCATACAATGGAGTATTATCCAGCCTTGAAAAGGAAGGAAATTCTGATACATGCTACAACGTGGATGAATGGTGAAATAAGCCAGTTCACAAATACACACATACTATATGATTTCATGTACATGAGGTCCCTTAAGTAGTCAGATTCATAGAGACAGGAAGTAGAGGGTGACTGGCTGGGTCCAGGAGGAGGGGAAAATGTGGAGTTGTTATTTAATAGCTGTAAATTTTCAGTGTTTCAAGATGAAAAGGGTTCTGGAGTTTGGTGCACAATAACACGAATGTACTTAACACAACTTCAAAACAACACAACAGCGCACTTGAAAATGGTTAAGATGGTAATTTTTATGCTATGTTTATTTTCCCACAATTAAAAACATTTAACCCTTTTTAATAAATGGTGGCTCCATAGAAATAGGTAAATGCTGGTCACCCAGGTCTCTGCATCTTTAGATGCAGGTGTACAACTCAGGAAATTCACTACCGCACCAAATGAAGAGTCTTCAAGCTCTTCGAAAAAGTATTTCCCAGCTCCATATGGGCAGAATCAGAAGATTGAATGGGCTTCTCTTCTTGTGTGTGGGGGTGGAGGGGGGATGTTAAAAGGTGGGAGTGAGGCCTCACCAGCAGGAGGGCGAAATTTTAATAAGGGCTCTTGAAGACATTGGGCCTCTTCTGATTTCCAGAGCTAAAGGACACCGGGGCAGCATCGCACTACCTTGTGACTCTAGACCAGGTGGCACAGGGTTCCAAACGAAGCCCCGCACCTAAAAAACTTTGTGACTCTGAGCCAGTTAATTCAACCCTCTGTGCTCAGGCTCCTCATTTGCAAAATGAGACTAAGGATGCATCCAGCACTGGCCTTCCAGGCTGCTGTAGGGACTCAGTGAGAAGTGTCCTGGTTCGGGTTCTAGTTCAGGGCACCTGCACACAGGAAGTAGCTATCATTACTGGGCCACTGAAGCAACTGCCTTGATAACCAGAAGACTTAGCTCCTTGAGAGACTGCCCACCACATGAACACCTGTAGGATGAGCACCTGTAGGATGAGCAATGATCCGGGTGATCTAGCACAGGTAGCACAAAATTAGGACTTTGCAGGAAAAAGGGAGCATTTTCAGCAGTGACTCCCCTGAAGGTGTGGACCACCTCCTCCCCCCTGCCCCGCTCCTACTCTGCACTCAGACCCCCAGACGACCTCCGCCATCCTCCCCATCCCAGCCAGCAAGCAACAGGACCACCCATGCTTCAAAAGCGTTCACCCTCCATCTAGGTCATTTCATTAAAAGTCCGGTCCTCTGATTTCCTAGGCAATTTGGACCAAAGTGAATTTGATCTGTAAATTACAAGGATAGTCGCTCAAGTTGTGTCTTTGGTAATGACTTTGGGGGCAGAGAGTAGGTGGCTTTTACAATGGCATTTACTTTTCTCTGTCACTGCTTTGGCCTTCCTGGAAGAACCTGGACCCTTTTCCTCTGCTTATTGCATGTTTTCTGAGTATCAAAGTTTTAAATGTTCACCAAAGCAAGTTTTAAAAATAATAATAGGTAACACTTATAAAGTGTGTACCTATTGTACCAAGCACTTTATGTGTACCAAGCACTTCCTGTGTATTTTTACTCACTTAATCCTTATACCAACCAGATGAGGCAAGTACTATTATTATCATGATCCCCACTGTATAAAGGGTAAAACCATACATGGAGCTTATGTGTGTAATAGCTAGTGTGTAATAGAAATGGGGAATCCAGGTAGTCTGGCTCCAGTTTGCACTCTACCAACGACATACCAAAAGGCACAAAGAAGAAAATCAAAATCACTGGTATTGCAAGTGCTGAAATAATATTTAATATCTTGATGCATTTCTTTAATCATCAACCTATGCTCATATTCAAAAGCTCTTCATAAAAATAAATTTGAGCTTACAGTCTATACTCACAGGCGTCTTATAACCTGCATTTTTTTCACTTGACTAGTATGTTGTGAACATTTTCCCATGTTATTTTATCTTCTGTAACTAGATTTTTAAACACTACACAGTATTCCACTGCATGAATGCACCATAGTTTAACTAGTCCCCTATTGTTGGACATTGCAGTTATTTCTAGCTTTTCATTATTGTGAGTAACATGCTTCCTTGTTGAGAAATCTTTTTTGGAAAACCATCTGGCAATGTTCTTAGCGTTTGCTGAGTCAAACATTGTGCACATTTTTAAAGGCTTCTGGGTTTAAACTACCAAGCTGCTCTTCGAAAGCTGCACTGACTCCCCCCACGCCCCGCCCCACCAACACGAACTGAGAGTGTGTGCTCCCGGTCTCCTTCTGAACCCTGGCCGTGGAGACCCCTGCTGCCCAGAAGCATCCCACAGGCCTGCCGGTCTCAGCCAGAGGGCCTGTGAGGCAGGAAGGACTCGTTCTTTAGAACTGCTCCACAGCGCCTCTGCGTGTGGCAGTAGCAGCAGAGATCATCGGGGGGGGGGGTGTGTGTGTGTGTGTGTGTGTGTGTGTGTGTGTGTGTGTGTGTGTGTGTGTAGTTTAATGTAGTAAAGGGAGATTGGAGACTGGACCGTACTTTGTATATAGAAATCAAAATGCAAGCAAAATAAATTGAAACCAGGAGAGCTGAGAAGAGATGTAAAAAGGAGAAGATGTGAGGAGTAAAACTTTGGGGTGAACATGACCATGGGTTTCCCTCGCCTCCGAGCAGATGACGCACAGCGGAGCTCGCCCTTTTGGGGTCCCGTGCTCACGGGGGTCACAGGGAGGAAGCAGGTGCCCCTTCCACTCCTCAGAACTTCAGTCTTTCCAGGCACAGATTGAGAAATTCCCGCCCAGCCCTCACGGACTCTGGGATCACACCATGACCAAACAAGATGACAAAAGGGACATGCATGCCCCTTGAAGGGAAACAGTCCACATTTACCTCAGTCTTCAGGACAAGTGGTTAAGTGGCCGTTCCCTTGCTTAGCCATCTGCCCAGCACATGCGTGCTGCAGGGCTTTGCTCAGGCCAGGCTCAAGTCCAGCTGGCCACGCTCCTTCCTGCACCCAGGGGTCCATCTACTTCTGCTAAAGCCCCCTGCCCCTGTCTCCCTCAGGCCCTTCCCTGCTGGTCCCTGCCGGTCCCTATGCTAATGAACACTGTGGAGAGGATTTGATTGAAGCAAAGAGTTAGGGTCTGTCAGGGAAGGAGGCCTGCTCCTGTCTTTTTTCTCCCTGTAAAGTGGAGACAACAGTACACATGTTAAGAGGTTATGGGGGTTACGAGAGAAAAGCCTTACAAATCACTGTGTACATAAATCTTACTTGCTTCCCTTTGAGTGAAAAATTGTGTGACAATGAATGTGACCTGTGTGTAATAGGGATTCACATACTGAAGAAGGAGAGAAGACAAATAGTTTATTCTAAACAGGGCATCAAGGAATGCTTCCTGTAGGAGGCTGCACTTGAGACTGGAGACCCGGGTGAAGGGAGAAATATAAGCAAGTGAAGTGGCTGAATTGTAAGATGTGATCCAAAATCAATAAGTGACATAAAAGAGGCCATACATATTAGGTAGGTGTGTTGGGACCCTGTTAGATGGATTTGTGCGCTTTCGTGAAGAAGAGTAAGAGACCTGAAGCTGGTCGCTTCCCCTAGTGGCGACAGCAAGGAACGGTAATCAAATATCTATTTTTTCTCCCAACCGGACACCCAACATTCATTGAGAATATACTATACACCATGCTCTCTGTTATGTGTTATACCTGTTACCCCCATTCACTTCCCATGGGCCCAATAGTACAATGGCCCCATTTTATAGATGAAATGGGAATGCATGAAATTTTCATTTCACAGATGAAAAGGGTCATGGAAGTTAAGTGACTTGGCCAAGGGCACCAGCTATAAAGATCTGGAGCCACTTTCGTCAAACGCCAGCGTGATGTTGGCGCTCGTGAGCTTCACTACCGTTGTTGGAGCTCACTTCTTGAGCTTGGCTGTGAAGCCAATCCCAATGGGCTTAGTGATGGGCTGCCACCTCTCAGATTCAGACTTAGAGACTGAGGGGCTGAGGAATCCCTGGAAACTAGCAAGGTCCAGCCCTGGCTCCGGCCGTGGCCATACCCACTCCGACCTCACTGACTACTTCCTCCCCACCACTTACCCACTACCTACCCACCTGGATCCTCTGCTGGATCCAGGCCATCAGTGCCCACTCGAAATTCTTACAACAGCTTCTCAACTCTTCACTCTCTTTCCACCTCTGTTCCTCCTCCCGCAGGCTACTCTAAACCCAGCGCCCTGTGCTGGGCACCTGCCTCTTCCAGGGCAGCCCTCTCGTCTCTGCACAAAGCCCTCCCAGGCTCTGCAGGGCTCTCAGAGAAAAAGCCCAAGCCCGTTGGGAGACCTGCAAGACTCTGTGATCGGCCCTTCTTACCTCTCTGGCTTTGTCTCCTGCAACTCTCCCCTGGATCGTTTTGCTCATACCAAAACAGTCTCCTGAATTACCCAAATAGGAAAGGTACCCTCCTGCCTCTGGACCTTCGCACTTGCTGTTCCCTCTGTCCAGAATGCTCTTCCCCAAGCTCTTCATGTGGATCAAACCCTTATTTCCCACAGGTCTAACTCAAATAACACCTTCCTAATGAGGCCTTTGCTAGACACTATAAAATTGCAACTCTCCCATACCCAGCACTCCCAAACGCCCTTCCCCACCTTCATTGCGTTTCTTAGCATGCTGCTCTTTGAGTGTTATATGTATTCCAATTACTTGTTCTTTTTATCCCCTCTCTCCTTCCTTTAGAATGTAAACTCCTTGAAGGCAGCGGTTTTTACCTGGCTTGTTTATTGCTACGGCCCCAGCACCAAGACTGTGCCGGGCTCAGAGTAAGCACTCCAGAAATTTCTGTGAGTGAGTGAATGAATGAATGACTTGAACGCAGGCATGCCACGAGCTGTAGGTGGAGGGCCATGCCAGCCCTTCCTACCTAGGTCACCTGGGAGAGGGAAGGAGTGTGACGCAACAGTGACGAGCCCTGGGCTCTGCCTCAGAAGTCACAGTGGAGTGACTCATCTGGAACGGCCTGGAGAGGAAGCCAGTGTGAAGAGCTGCCTGCCTTGTGCCTGGCACTCACTGAATCCTCACAACCTCCACATGAGGCGTGTCTGCCCATGCTGCAGATGAGGAAACTAAGCCTCGGGGCCACCACAACTTCCTAGCACATGGCAGCGTCAGGAGTAGAACCCACATTCATCACTTTTCAAAACCCAAGTTCTTTATAGTCTGTGTGCCAGCTCTCCCTTGAATGGAGGGCCTTTGTCCTCTATCTAAGGGCAGGCAACCCGCAGTAATAGCCTCAGCCGCCGCTGTAGGTTTCCAATGAGACAAACCAGTGTCCGGCGTCTCACAGGCCCACAACCAGCACTGGCAACGAGCACGGGCACCGGAGCTCCCTGCACAAGAGCAAAGCGACACGCTGCTCCCGGCTCGCATCACAGCAGAAGGCAGAGGGGCCAGCTCCTTCACCCCTCGCCTGACGTCCAAGTCAGGGAAAAAAGGGAAGAAAAAACACAAGGGTAGTGAGTCCCTCTCTTGCCTCACTTTTTCCTTTAATGTGGACTCGGTTTAAGGTCCGAAGGCTTCGGCTTCCCTCGCCAGGCTTACCTGTGCTGCTCTCTGCTGAATCCGCATTTGGGCAAGCGGGGCTGCTCTCAAGAATGTGAGCTCAGCACCAGGTGGCCAGATGGCTCAACAGCAACATGGCTCATCTGAAAGGGCCTCTTGGTGGCATCTGCATGTGCGTCTCACAGACCTCTCTGCGCTGCGAGATGAGGCTCATTACGACATTTTCTCTGCCTCTCTACATCCTGCACCTGCTGCGAAGCCACTTGGTGCCGGAGAGATTCCTGGGAGCCTCCCCATCCGGAAATTCTACCTAGATATGCTTCTTGCTGCAACAGCAAAATGCTCTTCTAACTCCAAACTGGGAACCACTAAAGGAAATTCTCTCCTGGGGCAACAGTTGGGCCATGGCGATGCTGTTTATAAAGTCAGTATTATTATCAGGCTGCACTTGATAATTAGAAGTCTTTGAAAGATTATTTTGACTTTATCCACTTATTTGAAAAGCGAGTAAAACATCCATTTTTAGCAGCACTAAGACACTGGGATCCCCTGCCAGCACTGAAAGAAGCATTAACTCTTGTCCCACAGGCCTGAATCCAGAAAACCACGTGTTCTTATTTTTTTCGCACTTAGTCAAAGGAAGTGGCGATCACCAGGGCCTGTCAAGGGGCCAGGAAGAGCATGCACAGCTAAAGTGTGCATGTGTGTTTACATGCATGTGTGTGGTATGTGAGCACACATGCATGGACACATGCGTGGGATGTGGGTACATGTGCTTGTGTGCATGTGTGTAGTGTGCGCACCCGTGCATGTGTGCACACATGAGGGCACGTGCCTGTGTGCATGTGCTCATTAGCATATAAGTTAGCAATCAGCCTTACAAAAGTCAAAGGAGCCTTCCTCTGTAGCTGCTACAAAGCTGGTGCAGCCTTAGCAGCTATGACTGCTCAAGAGCAAGGGGTTCTCAGGGTAACTTCTCACCCTCCAGGAAAATGCCTCCCACCACAGGCAACCCATCCCCCTCTCTCTTTTCAAAAGGAACACCAGCAATAACCAGGTTCACTACATGAGGCTTCTGTTCTCACCCATAACGGACCACATCGTGAAAAACAATCAGAAATAGGGTTAGGCTGGAATGTGTCCCCCAAATGTAACTGAGTGAGAGAGCCAAGTGGTCCCTCGGTGTGGCACAGAATGTTTCTTCTCTCACTGAAATCAGGCCAATACGTCCAATCAAAGCCACGACATACCTGTAATGTTGTCATAACTCCGGAAATTCATTTCGATGTGGTCCCACTCGAGCACCATGCAGTTCTCCATGCTAGGCTGGGCAATGGCCACGTACACGTCATTCTTGGAGTTAAACGTATCCACTGAGACCGACTGGTAGGGCAAAGTCTGATGAACAACAAAATCTGGGGAGGGGTGTTGAAAGAGAAAGGCTCCATGAGATCCCTTGTGGGAATTATCAGCCACCCCTTCCTTCCTTTCTTTCATCAGTTCCAAAAAAAAAAGGCGGGGGGAGGGCAGGAGACAAGCAACACAAACATCAAGGCATGTTTGACTCTGGGAGATTCCAGAAGGTTCTGGGGTGCCCAGGATTATCAGACTGAATGGACAGCTTCTAATACAGCTTCTTTGAGATAAACAGCTCACAGGTTCGGCTAAAGGATCTGAGTGTTTTAAACAAGTAGGGTGAGACCTGGCTTTCCAAAAGGCAAGAGGGAAATGAGGCCATTTCCTCTTCGCAAAGCAGCATTCCTGAAACTAACTTGAACATTCCTCCATGAACAAGGGCGGCGGTGGGCACCTTACTTGGGGAACGCTGTGTTTCTAGCACTCTCAGTCAAGAAACCTGTTTGCACTGTTTGCTGCGGCGGGGCCCAGCTTGCCTGCCAGTGGGGCCCTTTTCGCCTGTCAGCACACATCCCAGCTCTGCGTTACCCCAGCGCAAAACTGGCATGGTGGGTTTGCAGTGGAAAGTCAGCTCCCAAATGGCACACTGCGTATTTGCAAACCCTCCGACACGGCCTCAGAGGTTTATAAAGCCCCTCGTGCAGGGGAGTTAAGCATGTTTACTGGCTCCCGGACCCAGTGCAGTGTGAGTGATGGCTATGCCTGGGGTCTGGAGATCTATTGGAGTTCCAATCACATGCTTGACTCTTACATTTAGTGGTAAATTAATACTCCTCACCCACATCACTCACCTGACTCACTGTATTAAATCTCAGGAGGGAATGTACAATTTTACCAAGGAACAGGATGCAGATGCTCTGAGATGCACAGATAGTTAGTGTGGGGGGCAGCTAGAGAACCGATGAAGGAAGGGGAAGAACACTAATGAAGTGTAAGGTAAGGTATTTCTTTGGCCAGAGAGCCTTCAATGTGTACCGCTTGTTGGCAGGTAAATGTGCCCACAACAAAATGATGGTGGACGCTTGGCTAAGGAAAGTTGCTCTTATGAGAAAATCCTGGATTTGCCCATTTCTCCCCTCCACTGTCCTTAACAGTACCCCCTCAAGTCCCATCTCCTCTGCAAAACCTTCCCTGATCTGTCCAATCCACGGAGTCTTCCTAATTCACTGGACACATAACAGGCACCGTTGTCTACACTTTATTATTCACAATGATTATATCTTCAACATGGTGACACCAGGGTCGGACTTGGAGTAATGGGGGAGCTCTTAGAGCCTTGAGTCATTTTCCAGAGCCAGAAGCCCAGAGAGGGTGCATGTCTGGCCACAGGCACATAGCATGGTGCATCTCCTGAACTGTAAGATCGGAGCTGGGCCTTACACTTCTGAGAGCCCCCATGGCACGAGCCCACGGCAGCCACTCAGGAAATAACTCTGACGTGGAAGCTTCATAAAGCTGTTACACAAGAAAGGCAACAAAGGACAGGACACCCACTAGTGAGTAAAGAGGGACCATGCTGAAGGAATGGAGGCAGGATCGGAGGTGAGAGCCACTGGGCAAGTGTTGGCATTGGAAGCATGGTGGCGGGAAGAGCGGGTGCCGGTTGGGGCAGCAAAGAGGGGCGGGGCTGAGGGAGAGAGGGCAACGGGCGGCCCTGGAAAGAACACTGCGCCCGGCGTCGGACCACCTGAAATCACTTCCTGCCTGGGCCAGGCGCTGGGTGTGCACTTCCCCTTACAAGGCCTCAGTTTACTGACCCACAATCTGGGTGCAACGGTGCTTACCTCCCAAGCTTAATGGCAGAGGGACACGGGACAATTTTTGGTGGAAATGTCTACCTCAGGGCTTAGCACATTGTAGTTGTTTAATAAATACGGAATTAAGGTTCGAAAAAGGATGGCCCACCTCCCCTGTCCAAACCACCACTGGGCTGTCTCTTGAGGGAGTGTCCATTTTAATGGTATCGAAGATAAGATGCCAGAGCTGTGACTCCACCTTCCTGCTGAGTGACCTTGGGGAAGTTCACTCTCTCTCTGCCTCAGTTTCCTCACTGTATATTATGATTCATACTCACTTAGACTTGTACAAAGTTAGTGTTCAATGCACATTAACGTTCAGAGGTATTTCTCCCTGTGTACAGTAGGTGCTTAATCAGTGCTGCTGGCTCATTCTGAAGGCTGTGTTTGGTACAGGTGGGGATGAAGCTGAATGAATGATGCTTGCAGGTGTAGCACAAAGAGGGAGAAGAGGAGGCTGCCTCTGCACGCTGACAGCAAGAGGTGGCCAAGGGGGAACAGGGACAACTGGTATTGTGGACGGGGCCCCCAACGCCTACGCCACAGGAGGCAGACTGTCCAGAGCAGCTGGGTCTCTGAGGTAAAACAGGCTGGGCTCAGGTTTCCGCTGTCCTTGCCATCTGTGACCTTAGGCAAGAAACTTGAGCCTCAGGTTCCTCCTGAGTAAAATGAGGGTGACGTTCATGTCATAGGCTGTTGCAGAGACTGAATAAGAGAGCATGCATAAGAGTTCACACAGAGCCCGTCTGCGGTCGCCCTTCAGTTGGGTTACACATGTAACTATACAGTTGCACAGAGCTTTAGGGTCAGAGTTCCAATGGTACCGTTGGGCTGCCTGCGTCAAGATATGGAAGAGTCACAACAGCTCCTAGCCCCAACCCTCTACTACGTGCATCAGTCAAAGAGCAAAGCAGAAAATGTCAGCCTCGGTTCCTTCCTGCTGGCGCAGGCAGAGCCAGCGCAGACGCCTGAGAGCGCCAGCCTAGGACACGAGGCTCCTCCGTGCTCACGTGTCACTAGATGGGAAGTGGCAGCAGGCCCGGTCTGCTTCTCTTCTGGGGTTAGGAAAGGACTCAGAGAATACAGGTGCCCTTTCAGTGACAACCACGCTGGCTGCAAACATCTCCCCAGCATCCAGTGGCAACCCTCTGACCCAAGTCTGAGGAAGCTTCTCAACACGCCTGCGACGCCTGTAGCTCATTTGTTCTAGTCTGTCTCCTGACTACACGCTGAATTCTCAGAAACATGAGCATCTTCTTAAACATGGAGGTCATGTAAAATGCTGACCAGAAAGTCCGTTTTTTCTGAACAAATCCCAGAATGAGAAAGAGCTGCCAGAGTGGACAGCATTTTACAAAGCTAGCCGTCAATGATCTGATGGTCATTTATTTTCCCAAAACATCGGTTTCATCATATTTTCTATAAACTGAGTATCTGGCACAACACAGACTGTTAAGTCGTTTGAATCATAAATCTAATTCTAAAGAGACTCCTTCTCCCCTACTCCGCCCGCCCCCCTTCCCAACTGAAAAAGGAGGAGGAAGAGAAGAAAAAGAGGAAGAAATGAGTGGAAGAAATTGATCGATGCAGATGTATTTGTGTGTACGGGGCTGGGGGGATTCGAATTTAAATATCTCCTTCCATCCTTATCTTAATTTATCTTTCACAAATGGCAAACGCACATTCCTGTGGAAAGCTCTCAGAGAACGCACATATTGATATGACATCAATTTACTAGTGTTTAAGTATTATTGGTATTCTCTGCAAAAGCCTGCCACGCTCCTTCGCACTGGATTCAGTTCATGATGTCAGTGGGGCGCTTCCAGTTCAGGCGCGGCTCCCCCTGGAATCAACAGATTTTTACACGGCTATTTATAGCACTTGCAGAAAATAAATTATACATGATGCCTATCCTGTTGGGAGAGAAACTGCACATTAATGCATTATTTCTCTTTGCATTTTCATCAGCCCTGAAATAGGGAAGCTAACAGGACCGTTAGGATGCAAAATTCACTCCCTCTAAGGAATTTAGTGAATTATCCACCCAACGCAGGGAATCATGAGCAGGTAACAGGGGTTTTTGAGGTGGTTAAAAATAGACTTGAGGTGGAGAGTTCTGGCAGGACAGTGATTAACCTGAAGAGCTGAGACAGTCCAGGGGTTGCTTCGCGGTGTTAATTACACCCATGTGCCCAGAACAGTATCTGCCTCCCTTCTTCCACCTGGAGAACTCACTCTTTGCCTGCAAATCCGAGCTCAGAGGAAAATAATGCACAAAGAAGGTGTGCTTCCTCCCAAACCTTTGGTGAGGATGTGCTACAGTGCCCTGACTCCAGCATGGGCTTCCCGTCTTCCTCACACACCTCCTCCTCACCCCCGACTAAAGCCGCAGAGGAAGGCGCTTGATCTGAGCAGAAGATAGGAACCCCGCAAAACTCCCCATTTATTAACCCATGTTTCTACAAGGCAGGGACTCTATTTGGGGACTGATCATAACCTGGCTGTGCCATACTGTTTTTCATGATGGAAGAAACTGGAAGCAAGAGTCCATTTGTCTCTGAGTCTTCAAGGGAGAAAAAAACAACAGAGAATCATTAGCTCCCTGTTACCAGGGGAGAGTGCTGACTTCCTAAATTTTAATAGGAAGCTTTCTAGCAAAGACATATAGAAGAGAGAGAATGCTCTAAAATGTGTTAGGAGCTCATGCTGCCCTGTGGATTCTGGCTGTAAGACGGATTTCAGGACCTGGCCACTTCGGTTCCAAGCCCCGTCCATCCCCGAGAAAATTCTCAGAGCCCAGATTCTTTTCATAACCATCTGCAGGGCTCTAAGGTCAGAAATCACATTGTGTCTCACGTGCATTATCCCCTATCCCCAAGACCCTCTATAGCCCATGTCATTTCTCTCAGAGCTTGGCAAGCTTTTCATCCATTATGGCCAGGTGTGAACAGTGCAATGGAAAAGCTGCTAACTTCACGTGGGCGTTTGGAGAACATTCCAGAAAAACTGGAGAAGAGGTCAAGAGGAGCCCCGATGAGCTTTGGTTTAGCATTTCATACCAAATGGCCTTGAATGGCCACCTTTGGGTGCAAATGTTATTGACTCGACCTTTGATTTATTGCACTGCCCCACAATACAGTAAACAATCGGCCTCGGCTGGCTAAAGGGCACCTGCCAATTACACAGCTGAATAAGCTCCCGCTCAGTGATGAAAGACAAGGTCGTTTCCACAAGGTTTCAGGTGTTCTCCCAGAAAAGAACAGGACTTGTAGGTCCCTGATTCACAAAGATATCTAGAAATCATTTTTACTTTGTGAGTGTTTGTTTATTTGAAGGATGGCAGCAGGACTGGCCTAAGTGTGATATTTTGTTCTTCAAGTTCTGTCTTTTTAGTTTCTGTAACTATTTTCTGAGTTCTCATTCCTGCTGCTCCGACTGACATGCCTTGAGGCCCTGTCGATGTCAAATCTCAGACTACACGTTCAGTTTTGCTAACTCTGATGAGAAGTTTCATACTGTGACTTGATCCTCTCTTCCTTAAAATCGGACCTCAGAAGCTGTGGCAACTCCGTCTAAGCCTGTCACCTGGAGACACTCACGTGCTGTCTACAAGACGTGCGGAGTGGAGACAGTACAGTGAAACCTCAGTTCTCTGACTTCACTCGTTCCAGAAGGCTGTTCAAGAACCAAATTGTTTGAGAGGGGAGACATTTGAGAACTGAGGTTTGACTGTATTTTCATTTTATCTTTACAGCCTAAAAAATGTATAAACTGAAAACTTGAGTCAAGAACCTGGAAAACAAAATCAAACTTTACATTTTTCCTTCAATGAGTTTTCTTTTGACAACTAACTGTTAACTTATATTTCTACTTTGCCATTGGTTATAATTTAGCTAGTTATCTTTTTTTACCTGAACTTGCAGACACAATTTATAGATTTTTAAAGTCTCGTATTTATTACTTAAATTTTCAATAAAATTCATATAATTCAATAATTTTGGCTTCTCTGCACTGGCTTTCTATGAAAACCCATACTGATTTGAAAATGTTTTCATGCCAAACTCACTAGTTTATACTTCAACCTTTAAAAAAAATCATTAGAGAAATTTGAATTTTGTAAAGAATCAACAAGACCCAAATTAAAGCCAGTGCAGTTAACAAAAATCTAAACCACTGAGATATTTTTTCTGACCACTTTGTTTCTTTCAGAATGCTTAAATTTTGCCTAAAATAATTTTGATAAAAAAATTTTACACCCTCTTTTCTCCACTCCCTGTTGACAATCTAAAAGAAAAAGTAACGGATTACTCTAAATAACAGTTTTCAAAGAAATACCTGTAGTTGTGCATTCGTAGTCAAAGCTGGTCACATCATTTAGCTTCTTTTCCTGATACTCTGGTGGACCAATACATAGCACATCAGAAACAGTGGAGTTTGTCATCTTCAACCACAGATACAACCACTTGGCTTTGCAGTCACATTCAAATTTATTACCCCTCAAATCTCTAAAAAAATAACACAAACACAGGGAAACAGACATGCCTGAAATGTTTTGGCAGTAATATAAGACTCCAGAATCATTAACATCTTGATATATTGAATACCCCTAAAAATGTAATTTAAAATTTTTTTCTATTTAATACACTCTATATCTTGTTCTTACCATTGACTATTGACTATATTTAATAACCTTCAGTGCCTATGAATTGAACTATATGGCCTACAGAGAGCTTTCAGGATTAACATACACACCATTTCCTCAAACTCCGTTGAAACTGTCACCATGCCTTGCTGGACATGGGAGAGACAGCAGAAGGACACCACCCAACACAGGTTCCCACAAACAAAAACAGGGCATTATAGGAAGCCAGTCTTCACAAACACACCTGGAGCATTAAGGTCTTGTTCAACCATAGCCAGTAAGAAGTGACAGACTCTAGAAGGGAAAATACCATCTCTGGGAAAGAGCCTAATGCTGCAAAGCCTATTCTAAAATGGTCAAATCCATTCCAATACAGACTATATGCTCTTTCCTAGTGGGCAATACTTTGTCATAGAGTCTTTAGCTACAACATAAAAGAAATGTAGTAAAGAGGGAGAAAGTATTTAAAGCCATGATTAACTGGGGCACTATGACAAGCAGACATAAACTTGACTTTCATTACTTACAGTTCAATCAGAGAGTCTAAATCACTGAAGACATCTCTTGGGAGTGCTTTTATGTGGTTATTGGCCAAAGAACTAGAACGAGAAAGTAACATTTTAATGTGGTTATTATCTTCATGCTCTATTACTCTGAAGCCCCTTAAATAAAGTAATGATTCCAAACAGGGCTCAAAGCCTCTTCAGCACAACGTGGTTCAATTTCTGTTTTTTAAATATATAGTCTTTATTATGTATTTTCCCATTACCATTTAGTCCCCTTATACCCCGCCCCCTGCAATCACCACACAGCTGCCCGTGTCCATGAGTGCTTTTTTCCTTTTTGCACAATCTCTCCACCGCCTAACCTCTCCCCACCCCCATTAGCTGTCATCTGTTCTCCATCTACGGCAATGTGGTTCAATTTCTGGCTTTGGTCATTAATACTGAGATAAAGAAATGAGTTGAGTTATATAAAAATAACATTATAAATGCTGGAGTACAATGTAGTCTTTTGTTTTTGAAACAAGCACCTATTAAGCTCTTGTTATACATTTGTTAAACCTCAGGTATCACTTACGTTTCTCAGAATAAAAGCCAAAGTTCCTTTGATGGAGTACAAGACCCTCCATTGTCTAGTTTACCTCCATTCCTGCCTATCTATGGGATCAAGATCCAGCCACATTGGCCTCTTGATTAATTGACTGACTGATTGATTTTAGAGAGAGAGACAAAGGAGAGAGGGAGAGTATGCAAGAGACTGATTTATTTTTCCACTTATTTATACACTCACTAGTTGATATTCTTGTATGTGCCCTGACCAGGGATCAAACCCACAACCTTGGAGTATTGGGACAACACTCTAACCAACTGAGCTACCTGACCAGGGCCTCTTTGTTATTCCTCAAACAGGAGAAACACAGTCCCAGCTCAAGGCCTCTGAATTTGCTGTCCATCTGCCTAGAATGTTCTTCCCCCAGAGACCCCAGAGCTCACTCCACCACTTCTTACATGCATCCTCAACTATCACCGCCTTCTCTGACCTCTACATGTCTTTCTCCCCTGCTCTGTTCTACATTGTACAACTGCTACTTGGCATGCTATACATTTTATTTATCTCTCTGTTTACCGACTGTGTACTTTCCCTATATGTAGGCAATATGGGGTAGGATTTCTGCCTGTCCACATCCGTATCCTCAGCTTATAGAACAGTGCCTGACACATAGTAGGTACTCAATAAATCTTTGTTGAATGGATGAATTATGCACTAAAATGGCAATGATTTAAAAAAAGATATATAGTCTTATGCCAAGAAGTTCCCTAATGGCCCATTTAAATGAATTTTATCACTTGTAACTCTAAGAAAGGACCCGGTAAGTATGCTTTTACATAAAGACTTTCAGCTCTAACACTAACAATAATATAAAATCTCAATGAACCACATTTAGGAAAAGAATGATGGCAATCAGTTTCATTCTCTCATTAACAAGATTGACTAGAAACCATTCTGCATTTTTGCTCTTAGTGTTGAGGAGCTTTCTAACATGTCCTAGCCCACCCCCGCTAGCCCATCAACTCCTTCTCGGATGATTCAGGACTTTGCAGTGCCCTGTCATCATTCTGCAGAAGATGAACGTCCACGGGGCTGGGCTGCTGACGTTGAAAGATGCTGGGTATTGAAATGATGTACATCATGTCTGTGGTTCCCCCCAGGCGTTCTGCTCTACTATGAGTCAGCCAAGACACTGATGTCCGCGTTTTTTCTTTTACACATAAGTACAAATAGCAAAACTATAAAGGATAAACATGTAGGCAACTGAGCACCAACCTCCTTAAATATATACATATATATGAAATTAGTCTTTTTGAGCACCAGAATGACCCATCCCAGAAAGAGGAATTACAGAAATGATATTCCTCCTTAGACTCAGCTAGAGCAGAAAGCTTTGAGCCCCTTTGGAACCAACCCTTCTTGCTTCAAGATGGAAAGAGAATATGGAGAGACCTCTTCCCTTCTAGACAACCACAAATGGATTAGAATACCATTGCATGTATTGTTCAGTCTTTCTTTCCTAAATGATTTATCTGTACATTTTTAAAGATGTTGGAAAATAGACGAAACATGAAAGCAAATTGAACATACTCTAGAACAGATTTCTGAAATTAAAAAAAGAACATGTTTGTTTTGATTATTTTTTCCTGCTTGACGGTTGCTTTACCTGAAATGTCCATATTTTTCTTTAGCTAATTAAAGATTAGTTATTCAGCTAAATTTTTTGTTACTTGAAATGTATCATCTTAAAGTGGTAGGACTATACGGAATGGCTGAGGCCAAAAGAGCAGACTGTTTAGCAGTCGTTCCAAGTGTTCCATTTAGATTTCAGAAAGCTGAATTATTTACGTGGACCAGCCACGCTACTCACACTCAGTGCCCAACATCCTACTCTCCACTTCATTTTATCTACAAATTCATGGCACTTACTTCATTTCTAAAACTACTTAACAGCAACCCGCCCCTTGGGTTTTAGGGGCCTGCTGGAAAACAAACGTCCTAGATTTTAGTTACAGATTGGCACTGCTCCTGCAATGCCCTGAAACCTGATCTTTGTTTCTTTACATATAAATGTGACCCTGTAGGTGCTGGACAAGTTCATAATAGATGAAAATCAGGTACCTAAATGAGCAAATGCCAGATAGCGACTTCCTTCATCACAGGAGTGAACTTTAGACAGCTGATGTGCTCTCTCCGCTTAGAAGTTCACATGGGGTTGGGCGGCAGGGACAACATGGAAGGCTCAGTTCATCGTTAAACAAGGCATTAAATGCTTTAATTATGACATACATCTCCAGCCTGCGGGAGCCCACTTTAAAAGTTACCTGACTTGCCCAGAAGTAGAGTCCTTACGGAAAATCCAGCTCAGGAAGGAACCCCCTGGTCAACCAGCAAATCAGAAACACTGTCCTGCTGGCTTAGCCCCGTGCTAGAGGCTGGGCGAAGGCCAGAATTATGGAAGATCCTCAGGAGCCCTACCCTTGGGGGACTTGCAATGATGCTGGGGAGATAAAACTGATATCCATGAAATAGCACCAACCAGTTTGGCCTGAGTCTACTGCGAAGTGTGTTAGTGTGCGGAGCCAGCAGGGAGGGCTGCAGGAGGCATGGAAGAGAGACTCGAATGGCTCCATGGGGGAGACAGAACTTCATCTGGACTTTAAGGAAAAGTGGACAGATCCCAGGAGATAGCAGGCAGAAGAAACAGCATCCAGGGCAAGAAGAAGGATGTAAGGAAAAGCCCAGGAGTGAGATGAGTTGGGTCTGCAGGGTTCTGAGGACTTTTAGGGATATGAGGTCAGAGAGCTGGGGAGAGGGGGTCCTGCTGGCTTGACTGCCAGATGGCAATACGTGCTAGGACGGGTGTGCTCTGGGCCCAACCAGAGGACTTCTTTGTTCCCTCTGCATTTCACACAGAGAAGGAGGTGCCTCTTACACATATGTACACCTGATGTATACATATATGGTCATGTGTGCAGATGCGCAAGCATGCACGCGCAAATGCAGTTATGTACACACATAGAGAAGTCCATGCACCCATGGCACAAGTGTGCAAAGCTATGCAAATATACATGCACAATACCTGCACGTTCTTGCCTGTTTCAGACCAGGGACCCTAGCCAATTGGTCAAATAAAAGTTGACATCTGGGCTAACTCTGTCACATGAGGTTTGCGTTAGGTTCACAATCTGCTCAGACCCTTTGCTGGAAACAAAGCCACGCATTCCTGACTTCTGGGAACTGGGTTTATCTGCCCACAGCTGTTCCTCTACAGACAGCCACAGCTGTCTTCTTAGCAGACCCTGTCTGGCACCCAAACAGCCAAGGCTACTCAGCAGTCCTTGGAGAAAATCGAGACTTCCTAATGAGCCATGGAAGTGAATGATATTGTTTTGATGATGATGATGATGATAACAATGCCAACCACACCTTGAGCATTTAACTGGGTGATGGGCTAATCAGGGGTGTCCAACCCACGGCCTGCAGGCCTCATGCAGCCCAGGATGGCTATGAATGCGACCCAACACAAAATTGTACATTTATTTAAAACATTATGAGATTTTCTTGTGATTATGTGTCTCAATGCATTTAATGTGTCGTCCAAGACAACTCTTCTTCTTCCAGTGTGGCCCAGAGACGCCAAAAGGTTGGACACCTCAGGACTAACTGCTTTGCAAATACGCATTAACCCACTATGTGTGGCAATCTTCTGGGGTCAGTACAATCATCCTCACATTTAGGATGAGGAACCAGACTCAAAAGGCTAAAAAACAGTAGTAAATGATGGCCTTGAGATTTGAAGCCAAGTCTATGAGACTCCAAGCCCATTGTCGTAGCCTCTATAGGACTGTGGGAATTCAGCATTTAGGTGTAACTTGAAAAAAATAAAATCGAATCAAGCCTTTTACAGGAAGAAAAGCAAGCCTGGAGCAACAACGCCAACAAGAGCCCAGAGCTCTCCAGGATCGACCGCGCTGGTCCGAGGGCTCAGATCTCCCACTCACGCCCGCTCCCCTCCTCCCTCTGCAAACCTGAACCCAGGCGGAGCTTCTGCTCCATAGGCTTCCAGAACCAAGCACTCCCTGAGCCTGGCGACAGACACCTTCGCCTCTGTCAGAGTTTGACATAAACAATTATCTCTTGAGATGCTGTATCAGTCAGGTGGCACCAGCCGAGGGCCTTGCCCAGCACCCCATTCGAGGCCCTCTGATTTTCTCACTTCTCTTTTTTCCACAAGCTGATGAGACAGGTTATCTGACTCAAACACAAACTGTCTATTACACATATGGGACCTGGTCCTGGCTAATAAGTGGCTCTTACAAGACAATGGCTATTTTTACATTTTCATAAACACAGTCCCTATGTTTCCCGGTTTTCTACACTTGCTAAGTGTGTGCACTTGCCTCATTCTGATATGCCAATTCAAAGCAATCTGTTTAATTTTTTTTCTCCAGAAAGCTATTAAAAAACCCAGAGAGCTTAGCTTAAGCCACCGATTAATCCAACATAAAAGGAAAAGCTATTTGCATTCAAATTAGAGGAACCACAAAATGTCTCTATTCCATTTTGTCCTAATTCTGACCCTGCATTCAACATGCTTCTAGGAGTCGCGTAAGCCTCAGTTTCTAAATCTGTAAAATGGGGACTCACAGATTATTGTGAAAGATAAACAGAAGAAGGCTCCCAAAGCACACAGCCTGGGCCTGGCACACAGTAGGTGTACAATGCCTCTTTGCATTCTACAAGGTATGCAAGTCAGTTTCCTTCCCATCTCCTCCATCACTCACATAGGCCGCTCATGGCTCAGAGCGCTCCCTACTTGACGTGCAGGCATGCGGTCCATGACAATGATCCAGAGTGATGGAAAAGATGATAAAGACAAATGTGTCTTTATTATCTTGGGCTGATGACTGATCAGCAATACAGAAACCTCCAGGGCAACCTGGAAATTAGTTTCATTCAGAGGACGTTCACACTATAGACAAAACACTAAAAAAAATAAAAATAAAAAAAATAAAAATAGAGTCACCAGGAAATGAGTCTGACTTTGCATCTTAAAGGACTGACGGCACTTTTCATAGGACTTACAGGTGAGTCAGGTCGCGGAGGCCACGGAAGGCATTTCTTGAAATGGTTTCTATTTTGTTCCCTTCAATGAACCTAAAGAGAACAGCAGTATAATTAAACTGAATTTTCTCGGCTTACCATTCTCTAAAAAATGATACTGGTATGTTTGTGGAATAAAATCTAAAAACATTCATGAATTGTAACAATTCATCTCTGAAGAGCAGGTCAACTGCCCCAGGTTCCGGGCGGGGGGGCGGGGGGCAGGTGTGCATGCGAACACACGTGTCTGTTCCCCATGCTCCCCAGAAGCTGCATGGCCGTCTTCACACTCAGAGTGGGCACCGTGGGTAAAAACATGCTGGGAACAAGGAGAAGAAAGCACTCTACAAAGGCAAGGGATGCCCACATCTCTGCAAGCCTGGAATGCTCCCAGACGGTCAGCCCTTCCTACATTTCACAGCCTGGCTATTAATACTTTTGTTAATATCATTGTCCCTTGAGGGGACCCCATTGTTTCGTGTCTCCTTATTGAAGTTTTTGCCGAGGGAGAATTCCATTAAGCGTGGCTTCTGGCAAACTTTGAGTTCATCACATCCTACACAGTGTGATCTCTGAACAGATCGGTGACAAGGCAGGGTCCCCTTGAGACCTGGAAGGCACTAGGAAGTCGGAAGTGTAATGACATTGAGTATGGGCCAAGCTTCTCTCTCTGCACTGAAACATCTTAGGGCTTGAGCATAGGACCCTGCAATATAATTCAGGCCATGCATTAAAGTCTTAGTGAGAAATACAAGCACTGCGACTGTGCCCCAGGGCCACGGAGACCTACAGTTACTTTAAGGCATCACATGTCCTCAAATGGAAGAGGGTCTTTGGTGAGATGGTCCAAGGGAGAGGCTTTGCAACACAGTGCCATTAGTTACTGAAACAGCTCTTGGTTCTTGCACTGAGGAAGTCCTGATGCCTGCTTTTTAAAAGTCAAGGGTCTATTCAGTGATAGGCTCTGGTGTAAAGGAAGCTAACCTCCTCTTTGATCTCCTCAACCAGTCAGACAAGCTAGCTGCTCATCGGAGAAAGCTGCTAGCTTCATAGTCACTCCCTCCAGCGCCTGTTCCTGGGCTTTCATAGAACCTAGTTGGGCTTAGCGCTGCAGTCCCACCTGCCTTTGCACGTTAAGTATACTATCCCAGCGTACATATTATGTGCACTCTGGAGAAAGAACTGCAAAAACATCCTTCCAGGACATAAAATCAGCAGAGAGCTTTCTGAGACCCAGGATGTGTTTAGAATTCAAACATCTACAATACCTGTCCACCTCAGATAAGAAAGCAGAGACAAGGCTTTAAAAATCCCTCTGAATGCTAAGGAAGGAAATCCTATCTGATAGCAGGATTAATATTATTACAAAGTTACAAAAGACCAGGATGAAAGAATTTAGGGGAGAAAAGGACATGAAAGGGGGAAAGACAGAAACCAGAGGGAGGGCAAAGCTCATTGCTGGGGAAAAACTGCACATCTGAAGAGAGAAAAAGAACCTTTTTTTTTGAAAGGAGAAGAAAGAAAATTAGGCTCTCATCAGCAGCTCACAGGAGATACTGCAAAAGGGACATAGGCCAACTGAATTAAAAACATGAAGTTGTATTCCCATATAGGGAGACTTTATTTAAAAATAAGTAACCCCCAGAATCCTTCAGCTTTATTTCTGGCTGATCAGCAAATCCATGCCCAGTTATGAGAGGTAAAAATATCCAGCACAATTTCCAATTGTGCTTACAACATGACAAATTAAATGTCAGCAGAGAATGAATGTCTTTCCTCCTTTGTTTCCTTTCCCCCTTTGTCCCCAACCTCCTCCTGTCCCAGCATGTTTATACACAAGTAAACTACAAAAGGTCAATGCTGAAAAGAGAATGGGGTTTTTCTCCACCCCTCAATTCTCTAAGAGATGCTGTTCGGCCTGGAAAGTACTCCAACAACTCTACTGACATACCAAATGCTCAGCAAAGGGACAAAGCAACACACTTACAGGTATTCGAGATGAAAAAGTCCAGCAAAAGCATCATCCCGGATGACTGTAAAGGAGTTAGAATTCAGCAATCTGAAAATAAAGGACAGAAACCAATGCAGACATGTAAAACTGGAATCCCATAGTAAAGCCATTTCTGTTTCTTTTCCTATGTTCTGATCGGTGGGCAAATACGCGCTCTGCTCAACCCAAAACTGGCCCATTAGATGCACAACCCAACTCAGAGATACAGACAGAGAATGGCAAGTGGATCCCCTTCAGTCCAATTTTCTGGTCATCGCCACTACTCTACCCTCTCTCACCTGTGAGTCTCAGTAAATATGACCCGAGAGCTGTTATTCCCAAGCATTCTAAAGCCAGCACACAACCAAACAGCCGGGGAATGCTCTATGATCCACAAGCAGTCATAGAATTAGAGATCTCAAAGGAGCTATCCAAATCTATTTTTAGAGAAATTTGAGCCCAGAGAAGTTGTGACTTTACAAAAGTCACAGAGCTGAGACAATAAAAAAAAATTAAAAACCTTTCTACGATATTATACATTCTCATGAGGAAATAAAAAAATTTAGGAAAGCTTCAGAAGCTCTTTATCACCAAATAGTTTTTTTTTATGAGCCACCACCTAAATCTACTTGGTAAAAGTGTACATAGTCTTTATAGTTACCACTTAAATCTATGTGGTAAAATATCTAAAATTGTATTTCTATTGTGTGGATAGTATATTTTAATAGAAGTAGAATTTCCAAGAAATTTCACAATTTAATGTATATTGCTTAATTTTGATCTCATCTCAAATTTAAGAAACCAATACAGATACAGAGAGTGAGCCGCGTACTCATGACTGCCTGTCACTGATTTGCTTTTGAAAGCTGATTTCTGGACATTTCTTTTCATTAGCAAACATCAACGGACCTGGGCAACAGGGCATGACCTAGGCACTGGCCAAGAGCAGGCAGGATACAGAGCAGTTATGAGTGTGGGTTAGAATTCTGGCTGTGATTTAGGGCAAGTTACTTAACTTCTCTGAACCTCAATTTTCTCATCTGTCAAATGGGGAAATAAAAATACCCTCCTTGTAAAGATAATGAAATGATTAAATAAAATTTTGCATATAAATGCATAGTATGTTTCCCAATAGTTTATGTATTCGGTCATCTAGAAATACTGCCATTTCCAGAGTAACATTTAGAATTTAAACGGTAGATTTTCTCTTAAAGTAAAGGCAACAGTTTTAGGTGACATTCTGGTCAAAATTCAATGTAAGTACTGGCTGGTGTGGCTCAGTGGATTAAGCGCCAGCCTTCAAACCGAAAGTTGCCTGTTGGATCCCCAGTGGGGATACATGCCTGGGTTGTAGGCCAGGTCCCCATCCGGGGACATGTGAGATGTTTCTCTCTCACATCCATGTTTCTCTCTCTCTATCTCCCTCCCTTCCCCTCTCTCTGACAATCAATAAATAAAATATTTAAAAAAAAACATTCAGTGGAATCACAGCCCCAGTTGCTGGAAGTAGGGGTTGGGATCTACAATAAGGTCCTTGTGGAAAACATGCGCCAGGAGAAGGACAGGACCCTGAGCCAAGAGCCTTTGGACTCAGCCTGGTGGCAACCCCAGAGGCCATGTTACCACTAAGATCCAGCCATGATTGACTCATGGAGCTTCAGTGTTTTAGGAAGAACTGACATCAAAGATGCAGAGATGGCTCCTCCCAGGACCGCACGGTCGGGACCCCCATTTCCGGGAGAACTTCCCAAACTCACAGCAGCTGCAGGGAAGGCAGGTGGGAAAACATTCGATCCTTGATCTCCGAGAACGTTCCATTGACCAGGCTCCTACGGGCAAAGAGGAACACAACGAGGCCTGGGCTGCCTGAGAAGCGCTGGGCAGGGTGGGCAATCAGCCTTACCCTGCCCACCCGCACTTCCCACGCCTTGGCTAGGGAATGAGTCTTAAAAGAGTTGGCCAGGGGCTTCTCAGGGTAGGAACAAGAGGAGTCAAGTTCCTCTCGCAATGAACAGGATCAATGTGTATACTAGTTTGAATAACAAAAACCTTTACCACCCGTCCAGCTCCTTCCACAGACATTATCTCAGTCAGTTTGAATCAATCCCCCACTTCCTTTTTCTTAAGTGCAGGAGGCCCGGCTGCAAATGGATAATTATTTCACCTCTGCCCATGATTCTGTTTGCGCAGACACAGTGTTAATGTTGGCCGACGAAACTCCGGGGTAGGATTAAGCATTCCCCTTGGGAGCCCATCTCTGAAAGACACTCAGAGCACTTCTGATTAAATGCACCGTGAAAGCCTTGGGGGAAAACTCAGAGACACCTGAACTTGAATATGCAGTGGGAGGCCATGCCATCTGCCAGATTTAACGGTCAATGTGGGGGCAAGAGGCTTGGCTCTATTATTGCACCAGGTTCCCCATCCTTTCTGGCCACAGCAGGACCTCGACACACTATTTCAAAACGACTTCAGTTAGCACGCGGATGAATTAAGCAGCTGCTGGTCTAAAGGATTTAACAAGGGGAATTCTAATTTCTGGGATCCTCTATGTCACCAGATTTAGCAATTAGGAACCAAAACGGCCCTCTTTCCCTGCCAGCTGGACTGCTAACTTTCTAGAAATGTAAACAGGATGCCTGTCACTCCTGGGCCCAGGCCTCTGTTCCTTGCTGGAGGTTGGAGGCAGGACAGTATGATTCCAAGAGGAGGTGCCCTGAGCATAGCAGCTTCACCTGGGAATTCCCTGCCTCTGCAACTGAGTGGGCATCCCCCAGCACCGAGGCCTGGAACAAGGGAGTCATTTCCCAGCAGTGAAGACATAGTCCAGTAGCCCCCTTTCAGAGCCATTATCAGAGCTGGTCACGTGGCTTGAGTGGCTGTGTGCGGGCAGGTTGAAAGCATCTCTTAGCAGGTGGATAAATGATGTGGAGCCTTTTCCCATCAGTTCCTCCAGCACCGAAAAAGCAGCCAATGTAATACGCGGTGCAGAGACCAGCGAGAAGCCCTTGCGGACTCAGAGCAAGAAGTCAGGCTGACTTCCAGCACCTGACCACTAGGCTGGGTGCCCTACGTGCCCCAAAGCTCTGCCAAGCCCTCTGGGTCTCTTCCAGGTCACATGGGCAGTGCCCGGACTCCCACTTCCAGAGGCTGCATGACTTTACCCAGGTTCTTCCCAACCTGAACTGTGGAGAGGTCGGGACGAGGCCACGGTGTAAACCACAGCCCCAGACCTGAGTGGGACAGTGAGGCCTCACCCCTTCCCAGGCCACTCACTCCAGCCACGCTCACCGCATATACATGCCCACACACAACCCCCCTCAACATACACACATCCTCGTAAACTTTAATGCACCCCGGAATCACCTGGGGACGCCAAATGCAGACTCCAAGGCTCCACTCCAGAGCCCCTGCTTCATTCAGCGTGGACCCCAGAATCTGCCTTGGCACAAGCTCCGCCAGGTAGGTGGGTCTGATGCAGGTGACCTGGGGGCCACACTTGGAGAAACACTGACACAGGGACTTGTCTGGGTTCCCAAGCTCTGCGTCTCGGTTCCCTCCATCCTCCCCAGGGCCCGAAACTCCACCCACGTCCCACAGCGCGCCCCCACCCAAACATAAAGAAACAGGCTGGGGAGTGGGGCCGGGTCGCGACGTCCCAAGGCCAGAAGCAACTCCCTGGAGACGGCGGGCGCAGGGTGGGGCGGGGCAGGGAGCTGGAGGGGTCCCACTCACTCACAGGGAGCTGATGTCGCCCGGCACGACCCTAGGCACCCAGGAAGAGCCCACGCAGATGATGGACTCCTTGGTACAGCTGCAAGTGGCGGGGCAGCGCGCCAACCGCCTCACCTGCGCGCTCGGCGGGACCCAGCACGCGGCGCCCAGCAGCAGCAGCAGCAGCAGCCGCCCCGGCACCCCGTCGCCGCCCCTCCGTAGCGCCATGCCGGGTCCCCGCACCCCGCCCCAGTCCCGACCCCTGCCGCCGCGCCGCGCGCCTGGACCCGGCGCAGCTGCAGACACGGACGCCGCTCGCTGCTCCGCCGCCGCCGCTGCTGGCGAGGACGAGGGCGCAGCGGGTGTGGGAGGCCGAGCTGCAGCCGAGCAGCATGCTGGCCGCCGCCCCCACTCGGCGCCCCCCCACCCGAGCCCAGGCTGCTGGGCGGCCGCCGCTGTGCCCGCCGCACTCGCGCCCGCCTGACATCAGCGCTCTCGCCCGCAGCCCGCTCTGGCCAATGAAGAATGCGGGGCGGACGCCCGCCCCGCCCCCGCCGCGCCCCGGGGCCGCCACCCGCTCCGGACCCTCCCGGACCCTCCTCGGCAGCTGCGGGAAGAGGAAAAAGTTGGGTGACCTTGGGGAACGGCCGGCCTGGACGGAGACCCCCTGGGGGCCCGCTGAGTGGCGGGGCGTCAGATGCCCGCAGTCCCTCTGGCGGGCTCTTTTTGCCCAGGCAAAACAGGACGGGGGAAAAGTAGGGCCAAGGGAACGGGCTTGACGACTGGGAAGGGAGATTTTCGTCCTGGGAGCCCTGAAGAGTGCAGAATTTTGAGCAGCCTTTAGTAATTTTTAAAAGAAGAAATGAAACGAATGCTGCCACAGAGTTGGGCCAGGGTAGCTTTGCTGTCTTTTGCAGTGGGGCTGTGGGGTCTGGGTCGCGTTCCCCCAGCGCTGCGGGATTGCTGGAGCCGGCCGCCTCTCCCTGCTGAAGGAAGGGAGAGGAGAGAGCCTGCTACAGCCGTGCGCGCCCCTGCTACTCTGGGGCCTGCCTGCTCCTTGCTGTGGGGCTGAGAAGCCCGCGAAAATTTCCCCTCATTCAGCGTGCTCTCTGGCACCCCACCCACCCCAATGACAGGACAGGAGTGTTTTGTTCATAGAGATTGAGAGTGTGCTACGTTCTAGGCACTGTACATTTAATCTACTCCTAACCCTTTGAGGCAAGTCGTATTTATCTCCCTAATGTACTAGTGAGGAGATTGAGGTACGGAAAGCACCAGTAGCTGATTCAGGAGTAGATGGCTGGGCAGAGATGGGGGTTGGAGCCTGGGTCCTGTCCTGAGGCCTGGGATGGGGATTGGTAACCCGTCCTCACTGAGCCCCTCTTCCATTCTGCATGTTTGCTACACTGAGCTGGAATCTTATTACCACAAGGTAGTGTCCACTGGGGAAATTAAAGAAAATGGCCAAAACAGAACCAAAACGATGGTTCATAGCCTGGACTGGCAGAGTACAGACCGAGGCAGACCATTTCTTCTGTTGCGATTCCCCCAGAGAAGGCAGTACCGGTGCAAAGGGTTATTCCTGCAGGAGCCACCATTACTATCCCTTCCGCAGCCATCCTTCTGAGCGTGTCTCCAGCTAGCCACTGTGGGAGGGGACAAGGGGACAGGCCCTGTCCTCAGGGAACTTGAAGTCTAGTTGGACTCATAGACCTAACGAGGTAACTGCACACAGTACACAGGGGCCACAAACTGACCAAAGGAGTTCAGGAATTAAAAGGGAGCTGCCTCAGGCAAGCGCGGGAGGAAGTGGACATTGCTTGCAAGAAGCCTTTATCCAACACCTAGCATCTGTGGGAACCGCTCTACTTTTATCATCGTTTCATTCTCACACCTCCCCCAAGAAATGGGTCTTCCCATTTTGTAGGTGGGAAAATTGAGCTCAGAGATGTTATTCTCTTGCCTAAGGTCCCCAGGCTTCTGCATTGGCCTGCATTCCGTAAACGCATTTGTCAGCAATGCCCAGGGCTGGGGGCGAGGACGCAGCCCACTGTCTGGATAGGGCAACAGGCATGGGGACCCACTATCATGGATGTGTGTCCTGCACACCTGAAACACGCCCGCTTGGCTTCTCTAGTGTAGTACTTTCCTGCCGACCCACGGAAAGAAAACCTGGCTCTCGCTTCTTGCGGTGTTGGGGTGGAGCGAGGAGCGGGGTGGGGAAGGCAAACCCCCTGTCCCCAGGACTAGACAGACTTGGGTTAGCACCCCAGCATGCCACTCACGAACCCTGATCACAGGCAATCTGTGACTTCTTTAAGCCTCGACTTCCTCACCTGTAAAACAGACAGTCGTACCCACTTTGGTGGGTTACACGTGATCAAGAATGTAAAGCGCCCACTGCCATACGGGAAGTACTGGGTATTTGTTCAGGATTGTGAATGATATTGTGGAAAAGGCAGTTCTCAGCTAACCCCTATGATTGGGGGAAACAGACAGGGGTGGAGCAGGGGCCGTGAAAGGAAATGAGCTTTATTAACCTTTGTGCTTCCTTATAATCAAGGACAAGGAAACAATCTAGCATAGTGCTTTTCAATCAGGGGTGACACTTGGCAATGTCTGGAGATATTTTAGGTTGTCACAGTGGGACAGACTGCCACTGGCATCTGGGGTAGAGGCCAGGGATGCTGTAAAACATCCTGCAATACGCAACAAAAAATCGTACAAAATGTCCCTAGTGTCTAGGTGGAGAGACCCTGGTCTGGTGTCCCAGAAAGACCCGCGGCACAAGGAATGCCAGAGATAGAGATTCTAGGCATGGCCCCACCCCTCATCAGCAATCCTGGCTCACGTTGCTCCCATCTCAGCCTCTGTTTCCTCATCTATAAAGTGGGAGTAATGAGACAACAAGACCTTCCTTTTTCTTCTCTATATAAATTGAACATATCGTTATTACTATCCCTACCCCGCCCCCAAGCCAGGGCTCACTCCAGCCCATCCTCTCCAACCTGAAAAAATAGAAAGTTCCCGATGGGAAGGCTGCAGAAAGGAGACTTGGGGAGCATAGCTGGCAGGGTTGGTATTTGTTTCGGCTCTGTTAGAGACACTAAGTGAGCGCTTGTAAATTATAAGTGCATTTTATAAATTGAGATATAAAAATGGAAATGCAGATTACTTTGGTTTGGTTCCAACATCGTCAGCCGTTGGGGGAGGAGGAACTTAGTAGACAATCAGAGAAAAATCTGTTTCCAAGAAATAGCAAGAGTTTTTCAGAATGTAAAAATCCTTGTTCCACTGAACACTTACTCAAGCTGCCTCCATGACATGAGCACGCATGCGTCCCTGTCGGGCCTCACATGGTGCCCGCTGGAGAGGCAGCTCCAAGCATTGTTCATTCAGTCCCCAGCTCATTTAACCACCTGTCAGTTTGGTCAGTATTGATTGAGAGTCTACTGGGGGCTGGGTGAGATTAGCTTTGAAATCAATGAAACATCTAGAATGCCTCCCAAGTTTTAGCTTGAGCCAGGGGGTAGGCAAAGGCACCACTTTTTTGAGCTGAGAAAGCCTAGAAGAGGAGAGGGTTTGGCTGGGAGAGAGGTACCGAAAAATTTGGTATTGGAGATGTTGGCTCTGGAATGTCTAGGAGGTATTCACACCCAGCCGAGCTGGCAGCTAGATGACCAATGAGGATGGTAAGGAGGAAATGGGAGGGCGGTAGATGGGAAATCTTTGTACCCTCGATGAAATGTTGATGCTCCCTCAGTAAACCTTCAATGTAATGTTGATTGAATGAATGACATTTCGGACATACAAACATTGAAGATAAAATATTTCTCAGGTGCAATCAGTAAGAAACAACAGAAATCTCACAGAATAGAGTGAATCTAGGAACGCTGCTGTTTCGCGAAATCTGTTTTCAGACCAAAAATAATTTTAAATACTAAACCAAACTGTAAATCTCATAAGAATCTCAGAGACCTCATCATGCTTCTCATCTCCCTCCCCTATTTTCCAACCAAACTCCACTCCCACCCTGCAGCTGGCCTTCTCACCAGAACTGTAAGCTTTGGGAGGCTTTCACAAATGTCTAACACTTCTGGCTCCAATGCTTGCTGTGACAACGGAAGAAAAACTACTCATCCAAACCTCAAAGGCACTCAGTTTGAGTGGCTACAAATTAGATCTCCTAGGGTAGAAAAAATAAATTTAAAAAAACCCCATCTTGTCTATATTTTTTTTTTTTTTTTTGCTATCATCAGAGAATTTGCCAACCCCTCCTTGACCACATCACCCCAATATGCCACTCCTGCGGTTGGCTGCTGGTCAAGTGTAGATGCCATTTCTGGCTTCCCACCATTTCCTTTCTTCACAGACTCAGAGAGGGTCACAAGCCTGGAGCTCGCTCTGAATCTGGCTCTGAGTGGCCTCTTGATTTTCAATCATGTTCTTGAAGGGCTGCCTGTGGATATCTCATGCAGTTTCCTAAATCAGCTGAAAGGCCCTCAAGCCTCTGGCCATGGTTTCAGGTGACCTTGGCCACCTTCTCTCCACCACCAATGTAATGGACCCCTGTGGGATATTTGTCACCCAGCCTCAGCTGCCCCATCTCATGACAACAGGACACATTTTTGCTTGGGAGGAAATGGCTCCTTCTCAAAATTCAATCCATGTGGCTCACTTGATGAATATTTCCAACTCCCATGCACATGTCATCTAGACTAGAGCATTCCTGAACATTCCGTTCTCCCAGCCTCAGTGACAAGTTTCATGATAACCACATCGACCAACTGGAACAACCCTGGGAAGGGTGAACTCTCTCTCTGCTAGAGCTAGGGCATCTGTCTTCTCCTGTCCTCTAGGCATTGGTGTTCCCATTTTCCAGGCTTTTGGACTCAAACCAGGATTTTCACCATCACATGGAGCCTGCCCACCACCCTCTCCCTAATTCTTAGGACTCTGGACTAAGCAGAATTACACTACTGGTTTTCCTGGGTCTCCAGCCTACAGATAGCGGATTATGGGACCTCTCAGCAGCCATAACTGTGTCATCTAATTCCTATAATAAATCCTCTAATGTATATTATACATATGACATGTATGCACATATAAAAAATATATATCATATGTGTGTATGCATATATGTAATCTTATTGGTTCTGTTTCTCTGGAGAACCCTAGTATATCACTTTATATTTATAAGACAGAAGGCCTTTAGCTATGTTCCTAGC